CGAGCAGTCGGTGCCAGCTGGCATCTGGACCTGGGGCACACCCACTTGGGCTGGGGAGCTGCCCCGGGACCGACCTCGATACCAAGGCATGGTTCATGTAAACCTGGCCCACGCCGTGGGACATACATCTTTGCTTTTGGAGTGGGATTCCTGTCGTCCAGGCTGAGGGCAGTGGCACGCTCAGGCCACCGCAGCCTCGACCTGCTGGGCTCCCGTGATCCTTCCGCCTCAGCCTTCCAGGCTGCTGGAACCACAGGCATGTGCCACCACGCTGGCTAGTTTTTTGTATTTATTGTCGAGACAAGGTCTCGCCTTGTTGCGCAGTTGGTCTCAAACTCCTGAGCTCAGGCAGTCCTCTCGCCTCGGCCTCCCAGAGTGCTGGGGTTTTGAGCATCAGCCACCATGCCCAGATAAAAAATATGGCATAGACGGTTCCTTTTCACAGTATTTTCCTCTTGATTTCTTGTGTTTTGTTTTTTTCGGAGTGGCGTCTCACCTCGTCGCCCAGGCTGAAGTGCAATGGCACACTCACAGCCACCCCAGCGTCGACCTGCTGGGGTCTGGCAATCCTTCCGCCTCAGCCTTCCAAGTAGCCTTCCGTGCACGGTACCACGTCCGGCTAGTTCTTAATTTATGGTTGAGATGAGATCTTGCCAGGTTACCCGGGCTGGTCTTGAACCCGCGGGCTCAGGCAGTCACTCACCTCATTCTCCGAAAGTGCTGGGATGACATGAGCCGCGGAACCCGGCCTGATTTCTTATTATAATAGTTAAGCTTGTTTTCAGTTTTTTGTATTAAATATTGTCATTTTGGCTCTCACCATCATCCCTGACTCCTGACCCCACCCCAGCCTAGCCCAGACCTTGTTTAGATTTAGAACTTTGTGATTAAATAACTACTTACACACTTTGTGTATATTCCGTAGTATGCTTGGTCACTGTTGGAAGTATTTCAGTAAAATCAATGTATTTGAAAGAAAGTCACATAGAAAGTAGAGCACATAGACTCTTCGAAATACATGGAAACACCTGTTCAGGAAACACTGAGGATCCACTGTGCACAAGGTGCTCTGAAGGATGCACAGATTAGCAAGCTTAGAAACCGCTGCGTGTAGATGTGCAGAACGTGTGAGTCAGAATCTAGAACGTGTGCAGTAACTGCTTTTGATTTGAATCGTGTGGGAAGAATTCAGTGAGGGTTCAGAAAACTACGGCTCAGGTCCCTCAAGTAAGGAGAGGCAACAGTGACCTGCAGGCCAAGTCTGGCTTGCTACCTGTTTCGTTACGTCTTTGTGAACCAGGCGTGTATCTTTCCTTTTAAAAGGGTTGGGGAGGCTGGGCTTGGTGGCTCAGCCTTTAATCCCAGCACTTTGGGAGGCCGAGCCGAGTGGATTGCCTGATCCCACGGGTTCGAGACCCACCTGGGTAACTTGGCGAGACCTCATCTCTACGATTAATCAAAAATTAGCTAGGCGTGGTAGCGCACACCTGTAGTTCTGGCTACTTGGAAGACTGAGGCGGAAGGGTCACAGGAACCCAGAATGTCAAGGCTGTGGTAGCCGGGAGCATGCCACTGCACTCCATTCTGGGCGGCAGAGTGAGACTCCAACTCAAAATAAATGAATGAAGGAATGTATGAATGGGTTGGGGAAAAACCAGAAGAAAATGTTTTGCGACACATGACGAATGAAATTCAGAATTCAGCCGGGCTCGGTGACTCAGCCTGTAATCCTACGCCTTGGGAGGCTGAGGTGAGTGGATTGCCTGAGCCCGTGGGTTCGAGACCTGCCTAGGCAACTTGATGAGACCTCATCTCTACAATAAATCAAAAAATCAGCCGGGCACGGTACCGCATGCCTGTAATTCCGGCTACTCGGAAGCCTGAGGTGGAAGGATCGCCAGAGCCCAGCCACTACACTCCAGTATGGGTGACAGAGTGAGACTCCAACTCAAAAAAAAAAAAAAAAGAAATTCAGAATTCAGCGTTGACAAATACTTATGGAAACAGCCACACTTGGCTTACACATTGCCCAATTATGCATTGTCTAGTTCACCCATTGCCTATGACTGTTTTAGTGTCACAGAGGCAGAATTGATAACTATCTGGACCTTTATGGGAAAAAATTGCCAAACTCTGCCCTAAGGCATCCATTGAATATAATTGGCTAGGTTTTCTCCCGGTGTGCTGCCTTTGGGGGAATCTACAAAACAGTCATGCAAATCATTTATCTGATTAGGATCCTGAGTTGAGAAAAACTGGATTACATCTTACTGGGATATAGGTAAAGGGGTGATTGAATGTGTGGCATGTGGCTCGTACCTTGAAGAATGGATTCCAGCCAAGATTGGCCTGTCGCTTCTTAAGCGACTATTCAGAGGCAAACAATGGCAACACATTCAGAAATGGCTCTGGGACCCATCTGAGTAGAGAAGTTGATGTGGAAAAACGGGATGAAAAGTTGGGTTGGGACCAAGCCAAGGACGGACAGACTCCAAAGGGAGGAGGATTGACTGTCAAGTGCTGCAGAGTGTCTCAGGGTTCAAGAACTTAGAGTAGAACACGGAGCTGGGCATGTAACTGTTGGGACAGGTCAGCTGTGAGAAGACAGCAAGACCAAGCTGGTGCTGAGTGGTAGGCCGGCGCATTCCTGGGTCCCGATGAGATCCCGAATAGTACAACTGCAGGTGGGACAGCAGCTGGATGCTGAGCCTTTGAGGGGGCCAAAGTGCGGACAAGGCTTCTCCACAGTGTTGACGTGACATTCAGGAAAGTGTGACATGGGCCCTTCTTTCTCTCTCCTCTTGCTTCTAGTGTTCTGGGACAGATCAGACCATTTGTAAACATGCCTGAAACAAATATTGACCATCTCGACGAGCAACAGGTTCAACTTCTGGCAGAGATGTGCATCCTTATCGATGAAAATGACAATAAAATTGGGGCTGAGACCAAGAAAAATTGTCACCTGAATGAGAACATTGAGAAAGGTACTGCTCCAAAATATGCTTTGTTATAAAGTGGTTAGGCGTTTCTGGTTGCTGAGAAGAGTGCCCTGACGGGAGATGCGTTTCGTAATGACACCATGCTTTCTGTTTAGTTCCAGTGACCTAAACAGTGGTGGTGTAATATCTCTTGCTATCCCTGTTTCACGGTGATTACCGTCCACTTCGTGCCTTTCACTCAGCGTCTTCAGTTAGTCTGGTTTCTTAAATGAGGGAATAGACTAATCTCAACATCTCCAAAGCAGTCTCAAGCCTCTAATCTTTTCTTCCTCATGAACAGAGAGGTGGGCACATGCCCTTGCCACTTGCCCACGAGTGAAAGACCCATGGGGCCTCAGCCGAGCGTCCCTGATAGGAAAGTGGGCTGGCAGCAGAGTTGCCGAGAAGGTCGTGTTGCCCTCGCTTGTTGGCTGACTTGCCTGCTGGGTGGCAGAGCTCTCCCCCCATAACCACGCAGAGACTGTCCATGTGAGTGGACTGAGCAAAGGGCAAAAACGGCACCAAGTTACCAACCTGACTCCGAACCCTGTGGGGAGAAGCTGGCAAGTAATTGGCATTTTAGGACTAAATTAGTTGTATTTCTTTTGCTTTCAGGATTATTACATCGGGCTTTCAGTGTCTTCTTATTCAACACTGAAAATAAGCTCCTGCTACAGCAGAGATCAGATGCTAAGATTACCTTTCCAGGTTAGTACACTCAATGTACACTATTTTGTCTGTACATTAATATGACTTTTTATCACTTTGAATGCTTGGAGCAGGATCGCCGGTGCCCAGCAGGTCGAGGCTGCGGTGGCCGGGAGCAGCCACTGCACTCCAGTCTGGGCAACACAGTGAGACTCCAACTCAAAAAAAAAAAAAGGATAAGAGCTGTTAAAAAGGGTAGGGGAGGCGTGCATTTATGTGTGAATATATTTACATGTTTATTTGTAATCTGTATTGTCTGCACACTTGATCTTTTTGGTTGAAGAGGCATTAATAAAGAACTTACCTACAAATGTCTGTTTTGCAAAATAATTACTGATAGTCCATATAACTGATTTTTAAAATCCTTTCAAAGATCATTTTATATTTCTATTACCTAGAAAAATTTTCTTGATCTTTCAGACCTGCTTTGAAGAAAAGTTGATGTGTTGATGTTAACATTTTCCAGGTTGTTTTACCAATACTTGCTGTAGTCATCCACTGAATAACCCGGGCGAGGTTGAGGAGCACAATGCCCTTGGAGTGAGGCGAGCTGCGCAGAGGCGTCTGAAAGCTGAGTTAGGAATTCCCATGGAAGAGGTAATCCGCTTATTGCACAGCCATACAAGCTGAAACCTAAATGTAAATTAAACGCTTATAATAAAATTTTTAAATCCACTTGTACGTGACAGTTGCTTAGTAACCTCCTGAGTTATGATTCAGCCCCAGAAAGCACCTTGAATAGAGTTTATTGAAATTTTATTTTCTTAATATCCCTTCTCAGAATTCACCTCAGTGTTGAGATGGAGTGATCTGTTAACCACTGTATAAGATTGATCAAATTAAAGATGAATATTTTCAAGTGTTACTGCACTTTTAGGGTTTGTCTGGCAGGTTTTCCGGTTTTTGTCAAACTCCCCCCCAGAATGATGGGTGTTTTGTTATGGAAACTATTAGGAATGTGCACAGTAAATCCAGCCTACTGAATTGAAGTAATCTTTTTTTACTCCCTAACCCCTTGGATCTGTTCCCTTTATTTTATTTTTATTTTATTTTTATTTTTTCAGTTGGAGTCTCACTGTTTCACTCAGGCTGGAGTGCAGTGGCCCACTCATGGCCACTGTAGCCTCGACCTGCTGGGTTCGGGTGATCTTTCTGCCTCAGCCTTCCAGTAGCTGGAACCATAGGCACGCGCCACCATGCCTGGCTAATTTTTTTGTAGAGATGAGGACTCACCGAGTTGCCCCAGACTGGTCTTGAACCCCTGAGCTCAGGCAATCCTCTTGCCTTGGCTCCCAAAGTGCTGGGATTATAGGCATGAGCCACTGCACCCAGCAGGATTTGTCCCCTTTAAATAAGACCTGAAAATGTTATCTAGTTAAAATAGTACATTTTTTTTTTTCTCTGAAAAATAACCCTAAGGCTGAGCGCAGTGGCTCAAGCCTATAATCCCAATACTTTGGGAGGCCGAGGCAAGAGGATTGCCTGAGTCTAGGGGTTCAAGACCAGCCCGGGCAACTTGACAAGGTCTCATCTCTACAATAAATCAAAAAATTAGCTGGCATGGTAGTGTGTACCTCTGGTTCCAACTACTTGGAAAGCTGAGGCGGAAGAATCACCTGAGCCCAGCAGGTCGAGCGTGTGGTGACCGTGAGCATGCCACTGTACTTTAGCCTGTGTGACAGAGTGAGAGTCCTACTCAAAAAAATAAAAAATAACCTTAAAATACAAAGAAGGAGGTTGTCGCTTTTTTTGTTGTTTTTTTGTGTGGTTTTTTTGAGTTGGAGTCTCACTCCATCACCCAGGCTGAGGTGCAGTGGCATGCTCACAGCTACTACAGCCTCTACCTGCTGGGCTCCAGCAATCCTTCCGCCTCAGTCTTCCAAGTAGCCAGAACTACAGGTACGCACTACCACTCCCAGCTAACTTTTAACAATTTTTTTGTAGAGATGAGGTTTTGCCAAGTTGCCCAGGCTGGTCTCAAACCTGCAGGCTCAGGCAGTTCACTCTCCTCGGCCTCCCAAAGTGCTGGGATGACAGGCTAAGCCACTGAGCCCGGCCAAGATGTCACATTTTTATTTGACTACCTTTTTTTCTTTTTTTTCTTTTTTTTTTTTTTTCGAGTCAAGGTCTCATACTGTTGGCCAGACTGGAGTGCAGGGATCACAGCTCACTGTGGCCCTGAACTCTGGGAGGTCAAGTGATCTTCCTGCCTCGGCCTCTTGCTGGGACTATAGGCATACACCGCCACAAGCAGTTTCTTTTTATTTTATTTTTTTGGTAGAGAAGAGATGTTGCCCAGGTTGGTCTCAAATTCTTGGGCTCAAGCAATCCTCCTGTCTTGGCCTCCCAAAGTGCTAGAATTGTAGATGTCAGCCACTGAGTCTAGCCCCCTTTTTTAAAAAACATTTCTCCAAAAAAATCAACTTAATATGTTTGGTCCAGTGAGAAAAAAAATGTAGACACTTGAAACTAATGGTGTAATAATTTTTTCCATATAATGTCAAGGTTTCTGTATATTGAGGAGAGTAACATTTTAGAAGTTCTAATTCTAAAACTGTACTGTTCAAGATATTACTGTAATGTGATGGGTTGATTTTAAATTACTTTTTTGTTGATTTTTTTTTTATGTCTTAGGTTCCTCCAGAAGAAATTAATTATCTCACACGAATTCACTACAAGGCTCAATCTGATGGTATCTGGGGTGAACATGAAATTGATTATATTTTGCTTGTGAGAAAAAATGTTACTTTGAATCCAGATCCCAATGAGATTAAAAGCTATTGTTATGTGTCAAAGGAAGAACTGGAAGAACTTCTGAAAAAAGCAGCCATTGGTGAAATTAAGATAACACCATGGTTTCAAATTATTGTAGAGACTTTTCTCTTTAAATGGTGGGATAACTTAAATCATTTGAATCAGTTTGTTGACCATGAGAAAATACATAGAATGTGAATATGGAGGTGAATGATTACTGAAAAATTTCTCTACTTAATAAAATTAGAGTGATTTTTTTTCTCTTTTAAATTTGGTTTTCTATTATCAGTGTATCATATCATACATTGATATTTTACAGCTTGTGTGGAAAAAATAACTAACATAATCTTGTGTCATACACTGGATATATGCTCTGTTTTTAAAAGACATTTGTGAGAGATTGTTGTAAAATGAGAGCAAGTTAAAATTAATTTAACCTTTTCAAGCACACGGTTATGACAAATTCGAACAAAGAAGTGGAGCGCTGCCTTTTTGGTATGTTGTGATAAGCATTTTTAGCACATTTCTAGAGCACTTTGCTATTTGCCAGGTGCTTCAGGTATCCTTAAATTTTTGTCATAGCCCAGAAAAATGTACAAAAGAAACTCTTTGCTTAGCTACTTCAAAACAGTCCTAATTAACTTTCCATATTAACAAATTAAACTGGCAGAGCAGGTTTCAGGGAAATGAAATGGCATGGATCCTAATTTGAATCATTCTAAGTTGATGTGATGGTTTATTCGTTCTGGTAGTATTTGCCAATTAGCAAAGTCTGTGTATCAGAATTATAGTGGGCAGAGAGGTATTTATACATGGGAATCGAATCCTAGTCAACAGAGTTTCTTGACCTTGCCACTGTTGACATTTGGGCAGGATAATTCTTTGTGGTGGGGGTCTGTCCTGTACGTTGTGGGATGGTTGGCATCCCTGGGCTCTACACACTGAGGCTATTAGCAGCCTTTCTCCCAGGACAAGCAAGATTACACCAGATCTTGCCAGATGGTGTGGGGGGGCAAGGAAAAGTCACCTCCTGCTGAGAACCACTTCTGCAGTCAGGCCGAATTATAGGGAGAATAAAGTAACAATGAGAAAGACTGTTGTTCGTGTTAAATAGGTTGAGGTTATGGAATATATATATTAGCATTTAAAATAGATTGAGGCTGTGGAATATGTATATATTAATATTTAACATTGTACCTGGGCTAGGCATATCTCAAGTCTGTAATCCCAGGACTTTAGGCCGGGCTCGGTGGCTCAGCCTGTAATCCTAGCGCTTTGAGAGGCCGAGGTGATGAATTGCCTGAGCCCGCGGGTTCAAGACCCGCCTGGGCAACTTGGCGAGATCTCATCTCTACAGTAAATCAAAAATTAGCCGGGCGTGGTAGCGCGTGCCTGTAGTTTGAGCTACTTGGAAGGCTGAGGCGGAAGGATTGCTGGAGCCCAGCAGGTCGGGGCTGCAGTGGCCGAGAGCGTGCCCCTGCACTCCAGTCTGGGCGACAGAGTGAGACTCCAACTCAAAAAAATTAAAAATAAAATAAAATAAAATTAGCCAAGCATGATGGCACGGGCCTGTAGTCCTAGCTACTCAGGAGGTTGGGGCTGCAGTGAACCATGATGGGGCCATGCACTCCAGCCTGGGCAAAGAGAGACTGACTCAAGACAAATAAAATGAAGTTGTACCTGACTAATGTACTTTTTAAAACTCGCTATAGATAGATTTTACACATTGGAAATCTTAAGATAGCTTTATTATGCTTAACTGCTATATAAGAAAAAATAAAAGTTCATTTCTTATAAAGCCAAATATCTTCTCCCCATTTTTGTTTGTTTGTTGGGTAGAGCGGGAGCCTCACTGTGTTGCCAAGGCTAGTCTCGAGCTCCTGGGCTTGCGTGACCTTTCACCTCAGCCTCCCAAAGTGCTGGGAGTCAGTAGAATGAATGAGTCATGTACTGTTAACCACGAACGATTTATAATTTCCAGCAAGACTATTTAGCAAGTATGTATATTGTTAAAAAGTAAAATTGGGCAGCCTCTTTCAGGTCCCCTCCCATTGTGGGAGCTTTTCTGTCTTAATAAAGGACTGTTTCTGGTTTTTTGGGGTTTTTTCTAGGAAGTTTTGGGCTGAGAGCCACATATAATTAGTCACATAATAGTTACATGTGTCTAGTGGCCACTGAATTGGACAGTGCAGCTTTAGACTGTTAGCTGGTACCTTGCAAATATTTAGCCAAGAGTTAAATATTTCTGTTGTTGTTACTGGAGTGCCATCCAGAACACAAGTGTGAATGTTTTTTGACCTGATAAACTCCTCAGCATTCCTTTGTCTTTTATGAAGTATCCTAGATTATAACTGCTTCTGACCACAAAGGCAAATTTGTTTAAACTTTAAAGCTAAAGGACACTTTTTTCTTTTTTTCTTTTTTTTAAGATTAGAAAATACAGTGTATTTAGAAAGTAAATTTGGGAGAGAAAGAGGAGATTCACCTTCCCAACATAGGAGAGGGGGTCCAAGCTAGGAAACATAGCCCGACCGTCACTCAAAGGGCGCTTGGCTACGCCATAGCTTAGCAAGACAGTGACCATTTATTTTTCTTAAACTGTTTCAAATTCTTAGTCTTCAAAGTACAACCATTTGATTCTGGTCAAGCCATTGCCAACTCCTTTAAGGGCAAAGTAGGGGCAGCCTTCTACGAAGTCGTTCATTCTTTTCCCACATTATCCAGAGAACAAGAGCAAAAGAAGACACTGTGAAGGGAGGAAGTCAGGTTTTTTCTTACTTGCCCTGGCACCTGGGGGCAGGGCACAGGTGGCAGGAAAGTCCAGTGGCTCCTGGAGCTCAGGCAGGCTCCCCGGCCTTCGGGCTGTGCCTCGGGCGGGTGGCTTGTGGAAGCTGCCCTGCCACTGCTGCCAGTTTGTCCCCTGGGGGGCTGATCCTGTCAGTGGACACCTGCCAGGGCTGGGAGTCCCTTGTGGGATGAGGAGCTGTGCATCCCTTCTCGTGGCCCGTGGGGCTTTCCTTGTAGTATTTCAGGTACGCTTCGTCCTCACCCTTCCTCGCTGGGTGCTTTTTTCAACCCTGAGTCTGTTCCCTCTGGGCATTTTGTAACACACTTTCTGTAGTGCACCGGAATGGATGTTTGTGTGCATCCAGATAAGCTGACAGATGATTTTATGCTTTATAATTTTCACACATACAGTATACTCATTGTCCACATGCTTCAGACTCCCCAAATTAAACCTCCAGCACAGAATTCTCCATTTTATGTGCATGTTGGTGAATAGATAAGTAAACTGGTTCATCCAGACAGAGGAAGGTGATTCAGCTCCAAAAAGAAATTGACTGTCAAGCCATGAAAAGACGTGGAGGAAATTTAAATGTATATTACTGAGAGAGAGAAGCCAGACTGAAAGGGCCGCATGCTGTCGGACTCCACCTCTGACACTAGAAAAGGTAAAACCATGGCGACAGTGAAGGGGCCACGGGTTGGGGGAGGGAGGATGAGCAGGCGAAGCCCAGGGCTGCTGAGGGCGGTGCCGCGCGGCGGGGGCGGGCACGTGTCACACCTCCACCAGAACCCGCAGCAGGTGCACCAAGAGTGGAGTTTCATGTACACTGTAGACTCTGGGTGACAATGACGTGTCCGTGCAGGTTCATGGCTCTCGGCAGAGGCACCCCCCTGAGGGGGGATGTGGGCCGCGGAGGCCGTGCGTGTGTGGAGGCTGGGGACATACGGGCACTCTGGACCCCCCACCCTGTTTTTCTGTGAACCCGAGCTGTCGATGGAATAAAGCCTATTAAATAAAATTGTATTGGATGTTGACCCTGGAAAGCTTAATGTCATTAATTATTGGGTGGATGCAAATTGAAACCAGAATGTAAAGGATTGACATCACCAAGTGTTGGCAGGATATAGAGTGGCCGCTTCACTCACACAAACTTGTCTGGGTGTGCTGCTGTTGGACTGTCTGATACTGTCTCCTGAAGTCAGATTTCACCTGATGGCATAATCTGGATGGTTCTGGCCTGTTAATTTCCATTTTACTAAACAGAGACCTGGTTGCGCTGAACTGAGCCAGTCTGCAAGGACTTTTTCAGGATTTGGGTGTGTAGACCTTGGCCTTCCAGTCTGCAGACTCACTGGCATTATTCATAAGCAAGAAACTAGATGTCCCTAGGTTTTCCTATACTGCCCTATAAACATAAGATGCAGCACAGGGGTCAGGATTGGTGCTTGCCCCTGGAGCTCTTTATTGTTTGTCCAACCCAGGGAAGCCCCTGTGCAACAGCTAAAACGAGTAAATTAGTCTTGGTGTTGTGCAATGGAATGCTCTTGAAGAACAGCCAACTTGCTGCGCACAGCAGTATGAATAAATACACCGACCTAATCTTGAGTGAAAGAAGCTAGGTACAAAACCTACATGCTGTGTGATTCCAGCAAAATCAAGTTCAAAAACGGGTCAAACGCATTGAAGCTGTGGGCTGGAATGGGGGTTACTGCTAGGGGACAGAGGGAACCTGGGAGGCCTTGGGAGATTTGGGATATTCCCTGTCACGGTTGGGTGCTGGTTAATGGGTAAAGGTGTTTGACTGATGGAGGTGTATGTGATTTGTGCGCTTTGCAGATACAGAAGTGACGGCTCAGGACAAGTGGAAGAAGGATCTGTAGAGCATGTGGCCTCAGTTGCCGCCAGAAGTGGAAACCCAGGCACCTGCCTGCTGCACCTTGAGGTCCGCGTCGCCAAGGAAAACTGAAGACAGGCACTGGGCAGCACAACACTTCACTCCAAGTGGAGAGGCAGGAAGGTCAGCTTCCACAGTGCACACGGCCCCGTGCTGCGAGCCCCTCCTGGCAGCTGACTGGGCGTTGCCTGGCACACACACTTGTGCTGTAGTGAAAGAGCCCTGTCCCCAGCGCCCGAAGGGGACATACGGGGCAATGGGCTCGGTCAGGGGCCACCTAATTGCACACATGGAAATCTGGACAGGAAACGGTGTTCCCACACCAGGTGACAAGTTCGGCACTGGCTGTGAGGCCTTGATTGCAAATCACTGATTCCACATTCTTTCCCTTCCACCTGGAATGTACATTTCCTTAGTCTGTGCCTGGCCTGACTCATTCGTAAACCCTAACTGAAACGTCGCCTCAAATAACCTCGGGTTCACAAATCTACATTACAGCCTGTAGCAGGAGCTCAGTAACTGTTGGCTGAGTAAATGTGTGAATGGATGAAGACTCAAGCTTATACTTAAAGGTCTCTTAAGGCTGTGTCTCTGCAGTATGCAAATGTTGTCCTCTCAGCCATCACCACTCCCGCGTCAAAGGGGTGGCTTCGGGTGATGGCAGACCGCGTGGGCCAGGCAAGAACACCTAGACGTGTCAGAGCCCAGATACCTCCAGAAACAAATAGAGGGCAAAATCCAAGAGAAGACCTCTGCTTTTTC